GGTGTGTTCAGTCAGACGTTAATTGAACACATGGAAACACTTACTGTTGATGAAATGATTCAAGGTTCCAAGGTCATCACTTTCCTTGATCATACATGATAGGGAGGTGGTTTTGGGAGTCTCATTTTCATTGCATTTACTGAACTTGCACACTTGGCTTCATAAATCATTTTCATGACCCAAACCCGCCCCTAAGGATTTAGTACCATAACCGGCCAGTAATCCAAGATTACCAAAGGCCTGCTTAACAGTAATAACAATAGTACAGAGTAAGGGGCTGGCGGAAGCCAAACAGTAAATAAAAGATGTCTAATGAAAATTTGAATAGAAAAGGACTTTTATGGACTAGTCCACATTCATAACCATAAACATATGTACATATCAGATACACATAACATACATGTTAGGGATCCAATCCCTTTACCATAACTGTACAGTCAAAAGTATTAAACATTCGTTACAAAACAGGGACAAAATGGTGAATATGAAACATCCCAAAATAGCCTTGGCTTGAATGGACTTGGAACCTCAAAGTGAGGCACAATGGTTGGCTTGACAAAACGTGGGCTTAACTTGACGCTTCTAGCTTCGGTCTGGTGCCTGGCCACCTACATACATACATAAACTGTAAGCTAAAGCCCAGTAAATAACAAATGCATAAAGGGGTCAAGAATGAATGTCCTTTCAGCAATTAAAATAGTCATTTGCATCAGTAGATCGGTTATTCAATCAGTGGCTCATATTTCATGTCGTATCAGTCAATTAGAAATCATAGCAGTCATACGTGGTACATCCAATAGCAAGACAGTACAATAGGTCTTAATAGACCGGACAGTCAGTTGATGGCCATCAAAACAGTAAATAGTAGTAGTTCCAAACATTGGAACCGACAGAGATCTCTGTAACAGTAGCAGTAACAGTAATAGTACAGTAGCAGTAACAATAATAGTAACAGTAAGTTGCTATGGATGCCACGAGTACAGTTCATAAATTAGGACAAACATTCATTCAGTAAACAATGTCATTTCAGAAAACAGTATAGTCAATCGTTCAGAAAATAATTATAATTGAACATAGCTTTACAACATTGTTACTCACAGATTACTGGGCTATATGCAGGCTAATCAGCGTCCTCGGGTGCCAACCCTACACAGTTGCAGAATGAACACACACTAGATTACACACTCGGGATTAATAACTTAGCCCCTTAACTTGACTTGGTGTGGTTCTATAACATTATCCTCATTAAGATGCCTTAAACATGGCCTAGGAATGCCTAGGATGGAATGAGGATGCAAAAATGTACTTAACAACATTTTTCAAAATTTGGTGAAATAGGGGTCTCGCTCGAGTGTGGCTTTCTCCGCTCAAGAGAGCTTACCAAAACAGAGAGGTCGCTCGAGCGTAGACTCCCTTGCTCGAGCGGTCTGTAAAAATACAAAAAGTACTGGTTGCTAAAATTTTTTGCTCGATGCTCGCTCGAGCGTGAGACATAGTTCTTCGCTCAAGCGTAGGTCTCGTCGCTCGAGCGTACGCCTGCACATGCTAAAACCTGAGAGCTTGCAATCTATGCTCGAGCCAGCATTCCGTCGCTCGAGCGGAGCTCTGAACTCAAAGGTGGTCGCTCGAGTGTGGAAGCCAAAATCTGGGTTTTCCAGATTTGCTTCCAAAGCTCAAACCAACAATTAAACATGCCAAAACTCAATCTTTTGGGCCAATTTTCTGGAAAACACTTAGAAACTCATAATACAACATGTTTTGAAGATCATTTTATAAAATCAAAGCCCAAAAGTATGTCAATTGAACACAAATTCAACCCAAAATTCAAGAACATGATGTAAATATGCCATGCATGTGTTTATTTGAATTCAAAGCTTCTAACACATGATCAAATGAGCCATTCTTCCCAAAAACATGATGAATTCTTAGATTACAACTATAATCTAGACATGCATGGAAGAATTTCATGCAAAACAACTTCAAGACTCCATGATATGATCATGCATGTATAAATGAACTCTCAAATCCACACTTTAAGCTAATTCTTGACTCTAATCTCCAATTTTTCCATGAACCAACCAAGAAACAACTTAAATTCATAATTAAGGGAATGAATTTCCTACCTTAAGTCTTGAATTTCAAATGTGGTAGCTCAAAAGTGCAACTCTCCTTTAATTCCTCTAAATTTTCAAGCCAAACTCTTGTTGAATCAATTTCTCTTCCAATTCTCTCTCTCTCTCTCTCTCTCTCTCTCATGTTTTTGTCAAGAAGATGGATGAAAAGAGGTGTGCCAACACATATGAATCAAGACTAAAATAAACGGTCTTGTAAGGCCCACTAATGGCAAACATGTAATTAACCTAGATTCAATTAATTTAGCATTGTTTATTCTAATTTAATCATTCCAAATCAAATTTTAATTAAACCTACCATAAAATCATATAATTCCTAATTAACATATAACACTAATCAATTTCTGGATTGGTCGTCGATAAGGCTTTCAATTTGCAATTCGAAATTAAAACATGAACAGATTATTCAGTAACAAACAGATAGAAATGCATTCTAAACAACACACTCACACAACAATTTAGGATTTTGTCTTAATCAATTGCTTATCATACTTAATCATAATTTAACGCTAATCAGAGGTGAGGGTTGTCACAGTCATCATGCAATGAAATTACATCCATTGATGGTTTGTGAACCAAATTCACTACTTCTTTGATTTGCTCATGAGAATGAGGGGTGAGTTGTGCAAACAAACCCTTGAAATACCATGTATATGCTCTATTTTTCCTCTATTGTAGCAAGGAGAACTGGGCAGCAGTGGCCGGTAGGTGGCCGACAGACCACCTTTGATGGCCAGCAACCCTTCTTATTAGCTGGCCAGCCACTGATGCAAATTTTAGCAGTGTGTTCGTTTGGCAAAGCAAAGTTATTCTGGAAGTGAGCAACAGTGTGTGTGTTCTATTGCACAATAGAGGCTCTCTGGAAGCAAAACAGTGGTCTTTTCGGGGTGGAAACCGAGCATGCGCATGAACGTCCCTCGTTTCTCGAGGCGAAATAATTAGCTTAATATTTAGATTGTTCAGATTACTTAATTCTTTTAATTGCACTTGTGTAGTAATTATTTAAATTAATTAAAGTAGTTAACTAGTTGTGTTGTAATAATTAGTTAAGTAGCTTAACTAGTTTAATCATTTTGGTTTGTAATAATTAGCTTAATTCGCTTAGCCTTTTTTTGTTTGCTAGTTAGCTTAGTTTATTCATTTAGACTCTCCTTCGTGAGAGCGGAATGTAATAATGTGTACGTCTTCGAACCTGACGTCTTTCTCCCTTTTATTTACTAGCTTATGATGGTTAGTTTAGGGGCATCATGTTTTGTTTAGCATACTTCATGTTTGTATCCATTTGTATTGCATGCACCGAGGCTCGGTTTATCACTCTAACTTGCATTGTTAGTTTAAATACTTCTTTGAATACGTGCTTAGACCGCATGTTATCAAATTGATTCATATGCCTTATTAGTAGCCGAGCCTATTAATTGCATATTGTATGTGTTGCATTATTCATATTGAATAGTTAGGAATCATGCATTTTTCTAACTTGTATCTCTTTTTTGGCTTGGAGTACTAGGTCAACCTTTACTCACTTTAGCATATCGCATGTGTGTGATTGTTTCCATGTCTAGCATGCTTGCCATGAGGCTAAGTGCTTAAGTGCTATAAATTGCTCGAATGCTTGTGGATGAAGGCTTGTTGCTTGAATTGGAATAATTTGAGTAATGTTCATATGCGATCACTTTTTCAAGTGGTGCGTATTCGAAACAATTTTCAAAACAAATATGAATCAAGTGTTCCAATTCTTGAAATTTTTTCTATACTTGTGTGTGTGCGCATCACATAGTACTAGCCTAATGAACTGGAACAAGAGCATATAATGTACATAAGATTCATATCATGGTTAGTAGAGGCCAATCTTTGATCGGGCGAGTGGGGGTGCTCAAAAGTATTTATGACATTCCCCTCTCGTACCCAAGTTCTCGAGTCGAGATAATCTTGGGGATGACAGACACGTGACTTTTGGCACGAGTCATGGGTTTCCTAAATTTCTCCAAAAATAAAATATTTAGGTGGCATTCGAAACTCTTTTCAAAAACAAACATGAAGTCAAATATTCCAATTTTTGCAAATTAGTCTATACTTGTGTGTGTGCACATCACATAGTAATGCTAGCCTAATAAATCGGAATAAGAGCATATAATGTAAATAAGATTCACATCATGATTAGTAGAGGCCGATCTTTGATCGGACGAGCAAGGGTGCTCAATTCATGACCTCCTCCTCTCGTACTGAAGTTCTCGAGTCGAGATAATCTTGGGGATGACGGACACGTGACCTTTGGCACGAGTCATGGGTTTCCTAAATTTCTCCAAAAATAAAATATTTAGGTGGCGACTCTGTATCTGGCAAAGCAGTATATTTTTGGAAATTTGATTCAAAATCAAATTTTCAAATGATTTGCTGGATTTGGACTCTTTGGTGTTTATCAATTTCACATTGCACTTGTGAGATTAGATTTAGAACCGTGGGAGTCCGAACTGTAGGGCTTATTTTGAACTTCGGAGAGGGGGCGAAAAAGCCGAGCTACATAATTGTATGACACTTTCTTTACATGTTGCTTTGGAAATATTAACAAGAGAAACTTACAACTCTTTTCTAGACAAAAAATTATCAAGGGAAGTATTCCTTTACATACTTAGCGTTGATAGGGCCAGTTCTGAACCCGTCATCTACTCTTGTCAACTTGTAATACCCACTGCTGCTTGCCTCAACAACTTTGTAAGGGCCTTCCCATCTTGATGAGAACTTGGGGATTAGTTGCCCCCGCATAATTGCGTCCATCGACTTTCACACCAAGTCTCCCTCCTTAAACTCCCTGTATTAAACATATTGATTGTAGGCACGAGCTATGGATTGATAATACTTTTCCATTGCTCACGAGGCCCGATCTTTTCTTTCTTCGGCTGCCTCTATGTCATTCCTCTTGGTAACTGGAACTAAGTGTGCAGATATAGCCATTCTTGCTGAGGGTACTGGTAACACAATCTCAGATCCATACACTATGGAAAATGAGGTTGCTTGGGTCGGCTTCCTCTTTGATGTTCTGTATGCCCAAAGTGCTATGGAGAGTTGTTCAAACCATGTGCCCCCTGCTTCATCCATCATTTTACTCAGTATTCGGATAAGGGTTTTGTTGGTTGCCTCAGCTTGTCGATTCCCTTGAGGATAATATGGAGTAGACTTGTGATGCTTGATTTGGTAGGTGTCCAACAACCTTCCCACATGGCAATTTACAAAGGGAGTTCCATTATTAGACAATATCACTTTGGGTATGACAAACTTATAGATGATGTTTTCCTTGATGAAGTTGGCCACTCTTGCTCCGTATGCTTTCCTCATTGGTATAGCCTCTACCCATTTGGTGCTAACTTCAGTCGCTGCAAGTATCTATCTGTGGCCTTTGGATTGCTACGCTATAGGACCTACCAAGTCAAATGTCCAAGTATGAAACGGGTAGGAGGTCTTGATGTTGTGCAAGCCAACCGCTGGTGCATGTATCAAGTTCCCAAACTTCTGACAAGACTGGCATCTTCTTACAAAGTTTTTAGCATCTTCTTTTATTGTCGGCCAGTAGTGGCCGAGGTGGATAAGGTGTCCATATAGTTGCTACCCTCCTTGATGCTCTACCTTGTGGGCTTCTCTCAGCACTTTGTTTGCCTTATCTTTTGAAAAACACGCCAAATATATCCCTTCGAAGCTTTTTCGGTACAGCTTGCCTTGGTCAAGGAAGAAATAGAGGGCCCGTCTCTTAACTTTGATTGCATCGACTTTGTTCTCAAGCAATGTGCCATTTCCAAGGTAGTCAATATATGGCTGTCTCTACTCTTCATTGCTTAAGAAATGGGCTTTCTCTTCCTTAGGATGAAACTGACATTTTGCACATTGCCTCTGCAATTCTATACTTTCCTTTTCCATCTCTGGTCAGTAATACCCTTGCCTCTGTACCCATCGGTGTAGACTGATATCTCCATCTCCACAGGACTTAGCATGGATCTGCTTAAGTCTGTAAGCTACTTCTTGTCTACCAATGCACCTTGCTAACAGGTTATTGGGACCACAGAAGTATAACTCTCCTCTAAGGAGCAGAAATGATATATGTTCTGCTGGTCTGATTGTTTCTTGGCTTGTTTTCAGCTGTTGGATTATATCTGCTATCCATCCCTTAGCATCCTGTTATGTATGTCCTTCAGCTAACACTGCTGGTGTTGTTCTTTTCTCAATGACGATGGCTATACTATCATCTGGTATATCCACTTTTGCCTCCAGTGTAGCTAGGGCATCGGGGAAACGGTTGTGTGTTCGAGGGGTGTGTTGTATTTGGACATCATAAAATTGAGTGAGCAACTTTTGAATTATGTCGTAGTATAGGGCTAGAAGCGGCTCTTCCAAGGCGAAATCATCCAGTGTTTGCTTGACAACTAACTTGGAGTTGTCCCAAATTTTCAACTTGCAGAGGCCTTTCTTTTGGACAACAATCAGACCCTAGTATCAGAGCCTCATGTTTAACCTCGTTGTTTGAACATTCAAAGTCTAGCTTATATGATAAATGGAACTTCTGCCCCTCTTGACTGGATAGTGTTATGCCAGTTACACATTTCCCAACTTCAGGGCCTACTGGTCTTAGGACGTGGCACTGTTTCGGCCATACCACTTTCGAGCCTTGGAGGTCTTTCAATTGCCATTGGACTCTTCTCAGATTTTGATGATGATGACAACCTTCCTATTGCTTGAAGGGTTACCAGATTTAGAACCCGTAGACTGATACTCCTGGATGCTGAGGAAGAACCAACTGTCGAGGCCAAACCAGTTGCTAAGGTTGAGCCAAAGGGTCATAATGACTCTCGAAAGGTGTGTTTGACTGATGGGTCATAATGGTCATGGGGCAACCTTTCAGAGGATGGTGACCAAAATGTTTGCTCCTTTGCTTGGCCGGACAATGGAGGCTTACATCGATGATATGGTGGTAAAGAGACGACATGAGGCAAACCATTTGTCCGACTTAGCCGAGATATTTTCCATTCTAAAGAAGCACAAGCTGCGCTTGAATGCGTCAAAGTGTGCCTTTGGCGTGGGATCCGAAATTTTTTTGGGGTTCTTAGTCACGAACCGAGGCATCGAAGCAGACCCTACTCAGATCAGAGCCGTGCAAGAGTTGAAGCAGCCCAGCTCGGCTAAGAACGTGCAGCATCTGGCCGGGATGGCCGCCGCGCTTAATCGGTTTATAAGTCGGTCATCAGATCGCTGCCGCCCTTTCTTTCAAGCATTGAAGTCAAAGTTCTCGTGGGACGAAGAGTGTGACCGAGCTTTGGCCGAGCTCAAAGAATATCTGTCTTCTCTGCCATTGTTAGTTACACCAACGCCGAGTGAGGAACTCTACCTTTACCTTGCCGTCTCCCAGCATGTAGTCAGTGCGGTGCTAGTCCACGTTGAAGGAATCAAGCACCTCCAATCTTTTATGTCAGCAAAACTTTGCTACCAGCAGAGTCGAGATACTTGTCATTGGAGAAGCTTGCTTTGGCATTAATGATGGCTTCAAGAAAATTGACGCACTATTTCCATGCACATACCGTCATCGTCCTGACCGAGTTCCCCCTCAAAGCCTTATTCGAAAGGGCAAACTTCTCCGGTCGGATTCTTAAGTGGGCGGTCGAGTTGGGACAGTTTGATGTGAAGTTCCAGCCGCGCACTGCTATCAAAGCCCAGACTTTGGCCGACTTCGTCGCCGAATTCTCACCCGGCACTCATCCGGTATGCCCGGTCGATATTACCGAGGCAGATGATGAGATGCACGCAAGACCATCCGAGATACAACCAGTTGGTGGAGGTAGCGACGCGGAGTTTGCGCGCACCGTTGAAGCGCCCTCAGTTTGCACGGTTTTACCACCCGGTGATGCGATGACGGAGTTGAGTATCACCCACCCATCTGCTCTGTCTGGTCACGCATCACCACGGGGGGAAGAAATAGATCCACACAGCTCAGAACCTGCGGCCGGCATAGCACCGCAACCTGATGATTCGCCTACGGACTTGAGCATTACAGATCAACTTGCTAAGTCTGGTGCCGAATCCTCAAGGGGGACTGAATTGGAACCGGTCAACATAGAACTTGAAACCGCACAGCCGAGCAGTTGTGATCCCATTGCCCTTCGCAACTCTCAGGACCCATCAGACTACTGGAAGCTTTTTGTGGGCGAAATGTGGAAGCTTTTTGTTGATGGAGCGTCCAACCGTCATGGTGCTGGCCTAGGTATCGTTCTTATCTCCCCAGATGGCCTAACCATTGAACATTCCATCACGCTTGGCTTCCCAGCATCTAACAACGAAGCTGAGTACGAGGCCCTTCTCGCCGAGCTCAAGAGCGCTATTCAAATGAAGGCTGCCGAGCTCCTGGTGTACAGTGATTCCCAGCTTGTGGTTAACCAAGTCTCTGGGATTTACGAAGCAAAGGACGACAGGAAGGCGAAGTACCAAGCTCTGGTCAGGGAACACATCAAGCAGTTTCAGGCAATCAGAGTCCAACAGATTGGCCGTGAAGAAAACAGCCGAGCTGATGAGCTGGCCGGCCTCGCTTCCATGGTAGATTGTACATCTCCAAAACCCCTGTTAATTGACTTCCTTCCATGGCCAAGCATCGAAGACGCCGGGCAGACGGATGTACTTTGCGTCGCGTTGGGCCCTTCCTGGATGGACCCCTTGATCTTATTCCTCAGAGACCGGACTCTACCAACTGAAAAGAAAGAAGCACACAAAGTTTGGGTGAAGTCAGAGCGGTTTTGGCTCTCTCCATCTGGTGCGTTGTATAAAAAGTCCTTCATTGGTCCTTATCTAAAGTGCGTGCACCCGAACAGTGTGGAGGCCTTCTTGTACGAAATTCACGAAGGCATTTGTGGCAGCCACATAGGGGGCAGGTCCTTGGCCTACCGAGCTATTTCGCAGGGATACTGGTGGCCGTGCATGCACGCCGACGCACAAAAGTATGTCTACAAGTGCGAAAAATGCCAGAAATTAGCCCATCAGATCCACCAGCCTGCTAGGGAACTTCTTCCCCTCACCAGTCCTTGGCCCTTCGCCATGTGGGGGCTAGATATAGTAGGGCCACTGCCAACAGCACCGGGCAACCGAAAATTCTTTATTGCGGCCACAGATTACTTCACGAAATGGGTTGAAGCTGAGCCCTTGGCAACCATCAAAGAAAAAGACGTGAGCGGTTTGTCTGGCAGAACGTGGTCACACGGTTTGGCGTCCCCAAGATTTTGATCTCTGACAACGGCACCCAGTTTGACGGTCGCCTATTTAGAAGGTTTTGTGAAGATTTGAAGATTGAATTCTACAACTCCACTCCGGCTTACCCGCAGTCCAATGGTCAAGCCGAGGCATCGAACAAGGACTTACTGGCTGGGTTGAACGAACGGCTTGGAGAGGCAGGGAATGGGCTGAGAATTACCCAGCGTCCTTTGGGCATTACCGAACAACCCACGTGGCGATCTACCGGGACTCCATTTGCTTTGGCTTAGGGATGGAGGCGGCATACCTTTGTAAGTTGGTATGCCCACCTAAGAAGCCGAGAGTTTGAGCCCGAAGCTGAAACGCCGAGAGCTATTGCCCTTGGATGGCTGGACGTAGTGGAAGAGCGTCGGGAGAGCCTCCTCCATGTGGCCGCTACAACAAGAGCCTCAAAGAAGTATAACAAGACGGTTGCACCCGCAAGGGACCGTCAAAGTTGGTGATTGGGTTTTGAGGAAGATTATGGGCAACACCCTGGTGCCAGGAGAAGGCAAACTAGGGGCAAATTGGGAAGGACCCTACAAGATCACTGGTCTGGCTGGCAAGGGGGCTTACCACTTGGAGGATTTAGAGGGAAGAGCAATACCCCGGCCATGGAATGCGGCCAACTTGAAACTGTATTATTTTTAAGCTTTTGCTTTCTTTTCTTGTGCAAAGGGATTTCTTGGCTTGCACTCCAAAATGTAATTCTTTTTGTCAATATATAGAAGTAATTTTGCTCTAGCATTTGGACTGTTGTTTTAATGTAAAATCCGAGATGGGTTACTCCGGTTGGAAGAGTTGGTGTTTTGTCCAACTTCGGATTCCCAACCGAGATGATTTATTCCGGTTGGAAGAGTTGGTGTTTTCTCCAACTTCGGATTCCCAACCAAGATGGTTTACTCCAGTTGGAAGAGTTGGTGTTTTGTCCAACTTCGAATTCCCAACCGAGATGATTTATTCCGGTTGGAAGAGTTGGTGTTTTGTCCAACTTCGGATTCCCAACCGAGATGGTTTACTCCGGTTGGAAGAGTTGGTGTTTTGTCCAACTTCGGATTCCCAACCGAGATGATTTA